TCGTCACAGGTCCTCCTTTGAGAACAAAGGCCCAACTGTGTGTATGCAGGAGAGAACCGCACAGCTTGCGATGCTGACGGGGCTGTCATCTTAGTCACTTGGAGCACTAAGTACCACCGGAGCATTTCCCATAGCTTAGAAGTTGGAAGACTGAGATCATAGTGGCAACACAGCCCTGCCCTCGGATGGGATTGGGGAGCTCTTCCAGGTTTGCAGACGGCATCTCTTGAAGCACAGTCTCATGGGAATCACATAAGGCACCAATCCTCAAGAAGTAATCACCGCCCGTGCTGGCTAGGTTTACGTTAACCTGATACAGACTCTTGTCAATCGAGAGATGGGAACCTCAATTTAGAAAATGCCTCTTTAAGGCTTGGCTTCAGGCCTTATTTAGTCTTAATTATTGTCTTCATTAATAATTAGTGTGGAAGACCCAAGTCTGTTGTGGGTGGGGCCACCTTTGGGTTGGTGGTCCTGGGTTGTATAAGAAAGCAGGCTGAACAAGCCATGGTCAACAAGCCAGTAAGCAGCACCCTCCATGGCCTCTGCATCGGCCCCTGCCTCCAGGATCCTGCCCTTGTATGAGTTCCTGCCCTGACTTCCTTCAGTGCTGGACCGCAGTACGGAAGTGTAAGCCCGATAAACCCTTCCCTCCCTGAGTAGTTTCCAGCTGTGGTGTTTCATCACAGCAGTAGAAATCGTAACCAGGACAACTCCCACAGAAACCACCTCCTAAGACCATCACGGCGGGAATTGTGGTTTCAACATGTACCGTGGAAAGAACACAAACTTTCAATGTATACTGTCAATCAAACTTCGGAGGCTGAAAATTGGTCCAGGCGGAGGTAGGAGGAGTCAGACCTTGGAGCAGCCTCTAGGCATGTGATAAGGTAGTTAGGATTTTATGACTTTTCAGTGCTGCTTGTCTGGGAATGCCTCTTTCTTGGGCAATGTCTTGTTTCACTTGTCATTACCAACTGGGTAAGACAGGTGTCCTTACTTATTCATTCATCTGCCTGCATCTGATTGGCAGCTGATTTCCTCCTGCCTTGTATCGCCCCTGCATTCTCTGACAGCAAGTGAAGAAAGCCCTGAAGTTTTCAGGCACATCTGCACACACATACACCGTCTTCCTTACTCTCTCACAGCTGGAGTAGAGTAGAGAAACTTCTGCAATATCCGCACACCATGCAAGAAAAGAAATACCTTTCCCGGGGTAGGCACACACTGACAGGGCTCCTAGAACTTGTTCGGATCCCAATACCCAAGGAATACTGAAGTAAATAAAATAGCCACCTCCTAGAAGTTTCGACACAATGCACATGTGCCGTATTTCAAAAGGAACCCGGCAGTGTCCTGCCATTCTGATCCGAGCAGAGAGAGCTGACGTTGTCTCCACCCCAGTTTTTCCTCTATAAGTCTATCAAGCCTCAGGACTCAAGTACAAGGACTAGGGCAGGACAGCACCGAAGGGCTTTCAGCCCATTCCCCCTCTGGGGCGACACTTTCTCACGCATCTCATTGACCAGCATGCAATCACTAGTGCTTGCTTTATGTGCAGGCAGCACCAATAATGGAAGGGGCTGAACTGGGTTAAGATTACAGCTCTCTTCCCGGACAGGCTTCAAAGCTACAGAGAAACCCTGCCTCAAAAAGCCAATAAATAAATAAATAATAAAAATCAAAAGCAACAACAACAAAAACCCAGCTCTCACTAGATGGGTGGTGACTCATGCCTTAATCCCAGCACTCAGAAGATAGAGGCAAGCGAATCTCTGTGAGTTCGAGGCCAGCCTGGTCTACAGAGTGAGGTTCAGTACAGCCTGGGCTGTTACACAGAGAAACTTTGTCACACAGAAAGAAGATCACAGCTCTCCCAGAGACCAAGGGGCCATTAACCCCTGAGAGGAGACCAAAGCCTGGCTCTGGTTTGTTCTGCATGTGGTACACGCCAACATCTCACATGCCTGCTGTGCAGTTGATCAGTGACACAGCTCCTCACCTTCATCCAAGGACCACTCCAGTCTCCTGACTCAGCCTCACTATGCTCCTATAGTAGCTCCGCCTATACAGAGTTCCACCTATAGTCTCTATCAGGCGATGTTCTCTGCACTTAAAAGACCGCTGCCTCCAAAGGAAAAAGGTCACCTCTACAATACAAATATTAGCAAGGGTGTCTGCAGAACCCTCTCCCATCTCAGCCGGCCAGTGGTTACAAGGTCATAGGCTGTGGGGCTCCATCAATCTCTGCTTCCTCTCTTCTCTCCACCTATCACTATAGGGGCCTTGTCTCTCTCTGGGCCTTCAGCCACTACCGAAAGATCAGGAAGTCCCTGAACTCCAGATGGTCAGACCTATGCCTTACTTTCCCCGAATTATGTAGCTTAAAGGTTTATGTAGGCTCTCAACAATAGACACAGAAAATCGTACTTTTTAAAGACGTACAATGCGGGTGAAGTGGGATGACCAGTTAAAGGGACGGCATATGCCTGGGGCAAGAGTGGGATACGGGACCTCAAAGAAATGTTAGAATTCAGGAAACCAGGCAAAGGAGGCAGGGCAGGTTCCACAGGGTGCCACCAGATGTGGGATGAAGGACTGGGCTGCTAGAGTTAGGCAAGAGATAGGAAATGCCCAACTCACAACGCTTCTAAGACCAGTGGGTCAACCCTTCACCGAGGGCTTTACTAAATGGCCCAGTCATCCCACCGGGAACTGACCCAAAAGGATCCCAGCAATACAGCAAAGCTCCCCAGAGCCTCCGCCTACCTTGTTTCCTACACTTCCCACTTTTCTGCCCCTGCCAATCTGCATGGAATCGTCACCCAGCACAGGTGCTGAGTTATTCAATTATTCTAGCAGCTTTTGAAACACATGTGTAGCTAGAGACGCTTCTGAAAAGAGGAAAATCCTGTTATTTAGGCTACTGGGTCAATTTTTGATCCTCTCTTGAATTCTTGTTTGCCACGTAACTGCTTTTGAATTAAATAAGCAGCCCGCTGACACAGAATCCTTGCTAGCAAGATGCAGCAGCAAATACCATCACCAGCAATCGACTTCCGGTTCACTGTGCAGTTGCAAACAGGCGAGCTACGTCCAGGTCTGTTCAGCAGCTCCTAGGCTCCCACCCTCAGGGTACCCCAGGCTGCAGGAGCTGCTGAAATACTC